ACTAACAAATTTTTGATTATTATTTTTTAACAAAATATTTTTTTTCTCAAACGACTTTGTTTCGATTTTTTAAATAAAATTTTTTAGTAACCGTCTTAAAAAATGAGATTGGAAAGCGAAACAAACTGTAATTTTTTTCTAGATAAACAGAAAAGAAAAGATGTATGGGAACATACAACAGAAGGATGGAACACTAAATTAGAGAATAAAATAAATACATGCAGTGATAATTGTTATGAAAATGCAATTTTAGTTAATAAACCATTTCAATCAACCGATCTAAATCAAGGTATAAATTGTAAAGGAGATAATATAATTGATAAGAGTAATTTAATAGAGAACAACAATATAGAAGAAGATAACATAATGAAAATACAGACATCAAATTTAATCTTAAATGAAATCAAATGTACAAACAAAACTAAATACATGTATTTGTTATTTTTTATATCCGGTAGAACTTTATTGGGGGTGAGTAGGGAAATATTAGAAGTATATTCAAAAGTAGTTGTAGCATCAGATAGAGGAGAAGATTTAGCAACAGTAATAGCAGAGTATGATTCAGACGTTAATAAGAGAGATTTTTATAAAAATTTAATAGAAACATATAATGATGTGTATATCCGAGAGGGATATGATGAAAATACAGTTATGTTTTTTAAAACCAACTACCTAAATAACAAACCAATAGAAATATTGAGAGTTTCAAGGAAAATATCACCAGTGTTCTTATATTCAGATAAAGAAAAGAGTGCTTTAAAAACAATAAATCAGTTAAAAGAAGCTTATAAACTGGATGTAGAAATAACTAAATGTGAATATCAATGGGATGGTAAAAGAGTGACTGTTTATTATAGAGCATCAGAAAGAATAGATTTTAGAGCGCTAGTTAGAGAATTATTTAAATATTTTAAAATAAGAATTTGGATGTGTTCTGAGAATAGAGAATTATATAAGCAACAATAAAATTTAATTAAAAAATTATCAAAGTTTTTTTGTAAAAATGACAGATTTTACAATTAAAGTTAAGCAGGAAGCTAAATTAAAAAAAGATTATGAAGAGAAGTTTAAAACATACTTTAATAAACATGGAGTGTATTATGATAAGTTTATAAAGGAAACTGGATGCAGTATTAAAGATTGTGAACTTTTATATAAAAATTATATGAAAGATTATTCTAATTCTATAAAAAAAGACTATTTAAGAAGTAATTTAACTGTAATATCATACTTAAGTAGAATTGGAGACAGCTATATTTGTAAAACAGAAAATAATAGGTGGGTAGAGCTATCACTTGAAGATGATAATTTACCAATTTTATTAAAAAAGAAAGAATTATACTTAAGACAACAGTTATCATTAACTAATGATCTGTATAATGATTTGTATGATTCTAAAAAAATTCTAAATAAAGAGTTTTTTGAAGTTGAAGAAAATAAAGATGTTAAAGAGTTAACTAATGAAGTTATTGAGTTGAAGAAAGATTTAACGTCTTTGTTAAAAGAATTTAGTGATTTGAATTTAGATATTCTGGAATTGAAATTAGAAATAATTGACATAATTCATGAAAAGATCTAATTTAGGAAATAATATAATAAAGATTATATTTATTTATATCTTTTAATTAATTCACTTGATTCTTCTTCATTGATTACTTCTGTTTTTTTCTTTTTAATTTTAATTAGTTTTTCTTTGTTAATATTTGATTTTATAAAATTGTAACCCAATCCGACTCTTTTTGGCAAGAAATCAATGTTAATAGAAAAATCTTTAAATTTGTTTAAGTTAATTTTCATAATAAATTTTTTTATTAAAATTTTCATAAAATTTCTATTGAATCTTCATTAATCACCCACAAACCAGTATTACAAAAATCATTAATACAACTATCTAATTTTTCTTTATCAAATGGTGAATCTGAATACAAATGATTTAAATCAATTTTGTTATTAATTGCTTTACTTATTATAAAGTTGTAAATTGAGTGTTTTACATTCTTAATATTATCAGTTTCATTAAATGAAAGTGTTAATAATCTAAATGCTTCATTAACATCTTCTTCTGTTACTTCCTCACTAACCCTAAATCTAGCATTTGCTATTGATAATCTTATTATTGATAGAATAAATCTTGGTGTAATATTTCTATTGTTTCTTATCTTAATATAATTATTAACTATCTTTTCTTTAAGTTTTCTATTCAATTGAGGATTGATTTTTCTTACTTTCTTTATAAAAGATCTCAATAACTCATTATTATTAACTGATTGTGAATCATTCTCTACTGACTTATGTAGGTTAGTGATATGTGCAGCTAAATTTGTATGATTATTATGATTATCTTTTATTATGAAAATTATATCAAATCTTGATAAAAGTGATATTGGTAGATTAATATTTGATTCCATTGGTTTCTTATGATCATACTTATTTTTAATTGGATTAGCTGCTGCTAATATTGAACATCTTGCATTTAGTGTTGTATTAATACCTGCTTTACTAATTGTTATGGTTTGTTGTTCCATTACCTCATGAATTGATATTCTATCTACTTCATTCATTTTATCTAATTCATCTATACAACAAATTCCATTATCTGCCAAAACTAAAGCTCCTCCTTCTAATAAAATTTCTTTTGTTAATGGATCTTTTGTTACTGAGACTGTTAAACCTACTCCTGAGGCACCTCTTCCTGTTGTATACACTGATCTTTCTGATATTCTACTTACAAACTTTAACATTTGTGATTTAGCTACTCCTGGTTCTCCTATTAACATTACATTAATATTGCCTCTTATTTTTATTCCATCCTCTCGTATTAAATTAGGTGATGATATTAACATCAATAGTAATATCTTCTTAATATCATTCATTCCATAAATCTCAGGTGCAAACTGTTTTAAGGCTTCATTACCTGTTAATATACAATCTGTTATCATGTTGTTCTGAATAACATTATCTGTCTTTATACTTTGAAAGTTAAGTAATAATAAGTAATTATCATTTAATAGTCCTAATTTAAGCTTTTTTAATCCATAGAACATTTTAGGCATAGAAATACCTGATATGTTGATTAAATCGCCTGGTCTACAATCAGTTTCACAATTAAAACTCTCAATGTTTATAGTTCTTGGTATTGATCCATGCGGTACATCACTACTAATTTCTTGTACTTGTAATGATTGATATTTACTAAATTTAGATCCTCTTGATATCAAACAAAGTGCTCCTTTTACTTTTCGTCTAATACATTTTTCACTGTTACATTCTTCTAAAATATCAAAAATATCACCTGTTATCTCTTGATATGTTTCTGTACCACAAAACTCACAAATGTATGTTGCTACTTTTATAGATGGTTGAACTTTAGATATTTTTGTAACTATTCCTCTTATAGTTACAAACTTACCTATTTTATCTGCTTTCAATTCTCTTATTGAACTTAACTCCTGTCTATAATCATTAATGATTGTTAATGAGTAATTTCTTATTAGAAATCCTAGATTATTAGCCACTGATCCTTCTGGGTATTTCTCTTTAAATCTCGATATTCTATGTTGAATGAAAACATCACTATGGTCGATTATTTCTTCATCATACATAATCTCATCTATTACACTGTAAAGTAGTTTTAAATATGACCATGTATTATCAAGTATATTGTTTGCTAGTTCTTCATAACCATCATTTACAATGTCACTAATTTCTACCTTAATGTCTCTGTTATGTATCTGCTCCATATACTTGAGTGTTTGTCCATCCATAAAGTATCTTAGGAATGTCTTCAATGCTTCCTTTTCATTATCATAGTTTACATTAATACTTTTTGAAAATCTTATTGTATTATCAGTCTTCTTGTTCAATTGATTCATAAATTAAATAAAAATTTTTTCATAAATTAAAATATTTGTTTGTTAAAAGAAACAAAGTTTATTTTTATAATAAAATTCACACTTTATAAAGCTTAAATTTTATAAAAACTAAGATCGTTACTAACACACAATAGTCAACTTTAAATAAAAATCATAATTAAAATAGATACAAAGTTTATTTTTTGTTTTTGTTATTCATAAAAATATCCCAATAACCATCTCTCTGACTAACAGGTCCACATAATGTAGCTTCAATTTTATCAGATTCTTTTTCAAGATTTTCATTAAAGTTGCTTTCAGGTACATAAACAATATCATTAAGAACTAAGAACTTATCAACATCATCCTGTTTAATTTCATAACAAGCAAACATTAAACAATGTCCATTTACTTTAGTACAAATTTCATCACCATTAAGTTCAGGAAACTGATCAAAGAAGAAATTTAAGAAACTCCTAGAATCTCTAGAAAACATATTCACGTGAATTGTCTTATCATAATTACTTGAAGCATAAAATTCAGTAAAAAGACCAGTTGATTTATCCTGAAAAGCAATTCCATAAATTGGAATATAAAATAGATTTTTTGAAGACATTTTCTCTACTTCACCTGCAATTTGAATGTTGGTGTTATTTCCAGTTCTTACATTGATTCCGTTACAAAGTACTTTAGCTGCTCCATGTTTACCAGTTTTTGATCTGGTAATTGTTCCTACTTTTATTAATGTTAAATTTTCTTTATCTAAATTTGTAAAGAACTCATCATTTGGCTTTAATTCTGTTCCAGATATTTTTTTCAAACTTACCATTAAATTTAAAGGGATTTAAAATTTTATTAAAAAATCTTAAAAATTTTTTAATAAAATGATTTGTTTGATTTATTAAAATAAAATTATTTAAAAAAAGTATAATTTGATTGTTTTTTTATTAATTTATTTTAAAACCAACCTTAAAACAGGAAGTAGAGAAGGTAGATTTTGATTAATTTGATAAACATTAATTCCAATAAACACTATTGATGTTATAATCACAACCGAAGACAATCCATAAGCAATATTTTTATAAAAACTATTAAAATTTTCAGTTGTAAAATAAAAATTATTTGATCCGTCTTTAACTGCAATAACTAATTCATCTGAATTAACATTTTTTGTTGGTGAAACTGATCTTAAAGTTTCTATAATTTCAATTTTTTTATCACTTTCTACTGTTTTTTGATCTTGAATCTTAATAAATATCAAATTACAAACTATAAGTATTAATAAAAACAATCCTATTGTTGAAATCTTTATTAAATAAATCCTATTATCGGATCTAATTTTTTCATGTTCTTTTAAATCAATGTTATATGGAAAATATTCATCATTGTAATAAAAATCAATTGTTGAACTTTCATCTACAATTTCAAATTCTATATTTTCATCTTCTTTCATTTTTAATACTTTTTTAAGTGAACTAAAAAATTAAAATAAAAGTAATTATCAATAATAATGTCAAATTAATATTAGAATGTCTTATTAGTAAATTTTAAGATGTTAATTTTATTTTAAGTCAAAGAGTTTTTTAAAATAATAATTTTAGAAGTTTTTTAATAAATTATAATTAGCGGTTTTATTACTAAAACTATGTTTTTATTTATTATTAAAATTAATAATACTTTTATAAAATAAGGTGTCAAATAAATCATTTTTGAAAAATTTTAAGAAAAATTTTAATTACCTTTTTTGTTATTTTTTACTTACTAAAAATATTATTAACTTTTAATAATTAAAAATAAAGACATAATAATATCACTTAGAATAAATAACAATTATTTTAAATTAATTTTTTAATTATATATAAAAATTATTTAAATAAAGTATAATAAGAAATTGTTTTATTCTATAAATTTTTTTGCTATACTAAAACCACTAATTATTGTAGCACAGCAATTAATTTTACTAAGCTATTGTTTCGGTTTACGTTTTAATTTTAATAAAAGTTTTTTAAAAAATTAAAATAATAAACATATTATGATTTTAAAAAATTAATGGAAATATAAAAAGTATAAGAGTTTTTTTAACCTTCATAAAGGAAAGTGGTCGTCTAAATTTCATGGTAAAGTTACTTTAAAAGTTTTGTGACAGTAAAAAACTCTTATTTATTCAACAATATTTACTCTTAAAGCGGCAGGTGATGTTGAGTAAATATTTTATAATCTTTTAAAAATATATACAGTGGTGTTCAAAAAAAATCGGCCACTAAATTTTTTTAACATAAGTTCAAAACTAAGTATGAAAAAACCAATTTTTTGATTGAGAGGTATAATTTAAATTAAAAATTGACCTTAGGTTTAATAAAGAAAATTTTTAATATAATTTTATTTTTATACTTAATTCAATAAAAAATAAAAACAGTGTTCAAAAAAATTCGGCCA